GCCCCCACTCACCAAGGCCTCCCGTCCAGCAGGGGGAGCAGCAGCAGTGACAGTAGAAGCCCCGCCCCGTTCACCAGCGTCTCCTGCCCAGTACAGACCAGTAAGGACCAGTAAGGACCAGTACAGACCAGTAAGGACCAGTATAGACCAGTATGGACCAGTGTAAACCAGTAAGGACCAGTACAGACCAGTATGGACCAGTATGGACCAGTAAGGACCAGTACAGACCACTATGGACCAGTATGGACCAGTACAGACCAGTACAGACCAGTACAGACCAGTACGGACCAGTACGGACCAGTAGGGACCAGTACAGACCACTATGGACCAGTAAGGACCAGTACAGACCAGTACGGACCAGTACAGACCAGTATGGACCAGTAAGGATCAGTACAGACCAGTACAGACCAGAACAGACCAGTATGGACCAATAAGGACCAGTTTGGACCAGTAGAGACCAGTATAAACCAGTACGGGTTGGTATAATTAGTACAGACCAGTATGGACCAGTATAGACCAATATAGACCAGTATAACCCAGCATAGATTGGTATAAACCAGTAAAGGCCAGTATAAACCAGTATGGACCAGTACAGAACAACATGGCCAATACAAACCAGTGTGCGCCAGTACAGACCAGTACAAACCAGTACAGACCAGTATAGACCAGTAGAAACCAGTAACACCAACCAGCGCCTCCCAGTCCCCCCCCATCCCCTCCCCAGCCCCTCCCAGTCCATCCCAGTCCCTCCCAGTCCCTCCCAATCCCCTCCCAGTCCCTCCCAGTCCCCTCCCAGTCCCTCCCAGTATAAACCAGTACCTGACTGGCGTCCTTGGCGGCCACGTCGGCCACGTTGTCCCTCCGGGCCTGGTGAACGGCCAGAGCCGCCCGGGTGGCCCCGCCGGCCACGCCCACCACGCACTGCCACCAGTACAAACCAGTATAAACCAGTATAGCCCAATATAAACCTGTATAAACCACTATAGACCAGTATAGACCAGTATAAACCAGTATCGTGCCCGTGCATCCCCCCAGTGCCTCCCAGTATCACCCCCGTGTTGCTCACTGGGAGTGCAACAGTGTAGACCAGTATAGACCAGTATAAACCAGTATAGACCAGTAGAGACCAGTAGAGACCAGTATAAACCACTATAAACCAGTGTAAGCCAATACAGACCAGTATAACCCAGTATAGACCAGTACAAGCCACTACGGACACTATAGACCAATATAAACCAGTATGGATAACACAGACCAGTACAGACCAGTATAAACCAGTACAAACCAGTATAGACCAGTATAGACCAGTATAAACCAGTAGGAATAATACAGACCAGTATAGAGCAGCATAAACCAGCATAAACCAGTATAAATTACTATAAACCAGTACAAATCAGTATAGACCAGTATAGACCAGTATAGATCAATATAAACCAATATAGACCAGTACAAACTGACATAAACAATATAAACCAGTATAGACCAGTAGAAACCAGTATGATCTCTGAGCCCCTCCCAGTTCCTCCCAGTCCCCTCCCAGTTCCC